TACCACCTCAGTCCCAAGTGGTTTAGACAGTAGGCCAGGCCAGTGTGAGACCCCAGACAGAGAGGGAGGGAGGGCCCTCTCAGCCCCACTGTGGGACCTTCATAGAAGCCTGCTTCTGCCCTCCCTCTCCTCTTCTCTGGCTGTCTGGTCGCTGGACTCCTGGATGAGGAAGGCCTGCCCTTCTCTCACCCCAACACTCCCCAGGGAGGCCTCAGGCTGAGCTGCCTTGCCCTACAGTGGCTGCTTTTCTCCTCTGGGACCTCCAGGCTCAAGCCCTGAAGCCAAAGCCCCAACTGCCATCAAAGTTCTCTGACCTCCACTGAAGTTCAACTCCCCCCCAGAGTCTAGGCTTAAGCTTAGACCCACTAACAATAAGCTTCTACCTGGGGTCACATACCCATCCATTTCCCACTAGCTGTCCTAAAGTCTCAATAGGTGGAAAGGCTGGGCTCCATCCAGCCAAGTAGCACAGGTGGTTAAGAAAGCATAGCCCATCATCTCTCAAGGAAGCAGATGTGGTTCTGGGGAATGGGGCTGGGTTGGCCCACCCCTGCTCCTCCTTAAACTCTCCTAAGAGAGTCTCTCTCTGGTCTCTAATACAGAGATAACATTTCTCTCTCTCCCCAGTTTTCCTCTGCCTTTGGAAAGAAAAACGGGAATGCTGAGTGGGGTGAGAGGGTACAGGCACAGTGTGAACGGATGGAAAATGACTGAGGAGCTGATCATTGGAAAAGAGAAGCCAGCTCTATCCTGAATTGTCTCCAGGATTTCCCATAAGATCACCTCACCTTGGGCTTCAAGGATCCACCTCCTCCACCACCCAAAGGCCTTTGCACCCACCATCATCCCTGCTCTGTCTTCTGAGAGTCTCTTTGCTCCTTTTCCTCCACACCCCTCACACACTCACAGGCCTGCCCCTCTCCTGCTTCCTGTTCCAGATCAGCTCATCCCTTCTCTAGCAAACACCCACCCTACATTGCTGGTAAACCTGCTGTTCTCTAAAGCAGTGGTCTGTCTTCATAGGGTTTGCTTCTTGGCTCCATAAAGGAATTTTTTTAAACTATGTTGTGCCTTGCACATTTTTCAAGTTGGCAGCTAAGATTTTTCATCACGCCTAAATCATTGAAAAGGGCCCAGGACCAAATGGCTTCACTGGAGAATTCTAACACTTAAAGAAGAATAAACACCAATTCTTCTCAAACTCTTCCAAAACATTTAAGAGAAGGAAACACTGTCAAACTCAGTTTATGAGACCAGAATTACTCTGATACCAAAGCCAGGCAAGATACTACAAGAAAGGGAAACTACAGACTAATATTTCTGATAAATATAAATGCAAAAATACTCAACAAAATACCAGCAAACCAGATCCAACAGCACATTAAATGGATCACACACAATGACCAAGTAGGATTTATCCCTGGAATGCAAGGATGATTCAAAATACAGAAATCAATAAATGTAACACACCAATTAATTAATAGAACAAAGAACAAAAATCACATGATCATCTCAATTAATGAAGAAAAAGCATTTGACAAAATTTAACACCCTTTTATGACTTAAAAAAAACTCAACAAAATAGGAACATAAGAAAATTACCTCAACATAATAAAGGTCATATATGAAAGCCCACAGCTTTTTCAATGGTGAAAACTGAAAGCTTTTCTTCTAAAATCCAGGAACAAAGCAAAGATGCCTACTCTTACCACTTCTATTCAACATAGTACTGGAAGTAATAACCAGAACAATTAAGCAAGAAAAAGACATAAAAGTCACCTAAGTTGGAAAGAAAGAAGTAAAATCATCTCTGTTCACAGATGGCATAATCTTATATGTAGGAAACCCTTAAAGATTCCACACACACAAAAGAAAAACCTGCTAACACTAATAAATGAATTCAGCAAAGTTGCAGGATACAAAGTTAACACTCAGAAATTAGTTGCATTTCTATACACTAACAATGAACAATCCAAAAAAGAAACTAAGAAAACATCAAGGGTTCAGATCTCATACCAGCCAGCACCCCCCCCAAAAAAAGGAAAAAAGGAAAAGCAAACAATCCCATTTACAATAGCATAAAAAAGAATAAAATATTTAGGGCCGGCCCGGTGGCGCACTGGATAAGTGCGCCGCTTGGGAAGCGCGGCGGCGCTCCCGCCCGAGGGTTTGGATCCCACATACAGACCGGTTCCCGCTCACTGGCTGAGCGAGGCGCGGGAGCAACACCGAGGGTTGCAATCCCGTTGCCGGTCCCCGGTCCGGTACGGGGGCAACACTGAGGGTTGCGATCCGTTGCCGGACACGGAAAAAGACAAAAAAAAAAAAAAAAGAATAAAATATTTAGGAATAAACTTAACCAAGGAGGTAAAAGACTTGTATGCTGAAAACTACAAAACATCACTGAAAGAAATTAAAGACATGAATAAATGGAAGGACATCCTGTGTTCATGGATTGGAAGATTTAATATTGTTAAAATGTTCATATTACCTACAGCAATCTACAGATTCAATACAATCTCAGTCAAAATCCCAACGGCATTTTTTTACAGAAATAGAAAAAAATTCTAAAATACATTGGAATCTCAAAGGACCCCAAACAGCCAAAACAATCTTGAGAGGAAAAAACAAAGCCAGAGGCCTCATAGTTCTTGATTTCAAAATATAACAAAGCTACAGTAATAAAAACAGACATATAGACCAGTGGAACATAACAGAGAGCCCAGAAATAATCCTCATGTATACAGTGAAATGATTTCAACAGGGTACCAAGACCGCACAATAGGGAAAGGATAGTCTCTTCAACAAATGGTTCTGGGAAGGGCCGGCCTGTGGCTCACTCGGGAGAGTGCGGTGATGAGAACACCGAGGCCACAGGTTCGGATCCCATATAGGGATGGCCGGTTCGCTCACTGGCTGAGCGTGGTGCTGACAACACCAAGCCGAGGGTTATGATCCCCTTACCGGTCATCTTTATTTTTATTTATTTTTTTTTTTAAAAGATGACCGGTAAGGGGATCTTAACCCTTGACTTGGTGTTGTCAGCACCACGCTCAGCCAGTGAGCGAACCGGCCATCCCTATATGGGATCCGAACCCGTGGCCTTGGTGTTAACAGCACCGCACTCTCCCGAGTGAGCCACAGGCCGGCCCCTTACCAGTCATCTTTAAAAAAAAAAAAAAAAAAAAAATCTGCATAGCAAAGGAAATAATCAACAAAGTGAAAAGGCAACTTACATAATGGGTGAAAATATTTGCAAACTCTGTATCAGATAAGGAGTTTACATGCAGAATATATAAAGAACTCCTGCAACTCAACAACAAAAGAACCAAATAAACCGACTAAAAAATGGGCAGAGGACTTGAATAGACATTTCTCCAAAGAAAATGTACAAACAGCCAACAAGCATGTGAAAAAATGCTCAATATCACTAATCACCAGGGAAATGTAAATCAAGACCACAATGAGATATCACCTTATACCCGTTAATATGACCACTATCAAAAAAGCAATGTAAGTGTTGGTGAGGATATGGAGAAATTGCAACCCTTGTTCACTGTTAGTGGGATTGTAAAATGGTGCAGCCACTATGGAAAAACAGTATAGACGTTTCTCAAAAAATTAAAAATGGATCTTCCATATGGCCCTGAAATACCACTTCTGGATGTATATCCAAAAGAATTGAAAACAAGATCTTGGAGAGATATTTGCACCCCCTTGTTCATTGCAGCATTATTCACAGTAGCCAAGACGTGGAAGAAACCTAAACATTCACAAGCAGGTGAACAGATAAAGAAAATGTGGTGTATACATACAATGGAACATTATTCAGCCTTAAATAGAAAGGAAATCTTGTCATACACTACAACATAGATGAACCTTGAGGACATTATGCTAAGTGAACAAAGCCAATCACAAAAAGACAAATATGATTCAACTTATGTGAGGACTCTGAAGTAATTAAACTCATAGAAACAGAAAGTAGAATAGTGCTTTCTTGAGGGTGAGGGGTGGGACAGGCTTGTTCAATGGCTGTAGAGTTACAGCCATGCAAGATGAAACAGTTCTAGAGATCTGCTGTACAACAATACACACATAATTAAAAATAGAGGGTAAATTTATCTTATGTGTTTTTACCACAACTAGACAGACAGACAGACAGATAGATAGATAGACAGAGACAAGAAGACACACACACACACACACCAGAAAATGTGAATGAATTCTTTTTTAACATTCAGTCAAGGCAGCATAGGAATATTCAGGACAGATAAAGGGTGTGCCTTTTATTTTTAAATGGGCAAGTGTTATTGTGATGGAGAAGTGGGAAAGGAGGACCGGCGCCTGCTGGCCTGTTGCAAGGCAGATCAATTTTAGAAGGCTGACGATCTGTAAGTGGATTCCAATAAAACTGTCTGTACTTGTGCATCTTCTGGAAAATCTTAAACCTTGGTGTACATTACCCCATTTGAAAACCACCAATCCCAAGCTCTGCAGGCTGAGTTTCCTGCTAGAGGCTCCCTCAGTGCAAGAGCAGGGGAGAAACCAAGAAACTGGCATTTTCCCCTCCAGCAGCAATAATGTCATGGTTTCTTTTCCCCCTCTGGCCTCCCACACCCCTCCTTCCTTGCACCCCTTCTTCCCCATCCCACAGCTTCTCTTTGTTTTGGAATAATCTATTGATGAGTACTCAGGGTCTCAGTGCTACTCAAGGCTCAAGACTGAAGGCCATGGTCCCTCTGTCATGAAAGGGTGAGACTAAATGAGACCTACTATGTGCCTGGAAGTTGAATATGAAGTGCGGGCTATGAGGGCCCAGAGATGGTGACACATGGCCTTTGGCCCTTCGTGGAGCAGATGGGAAGGAACAGCCGGCCTAGGGCTCACAGCACCTGTTTGGATCCAGGAGTTCTGGCTTCTTTCTTGCTCTGCCTTTGGCCTTTCTCTGTGAGATTTCCCCCTTGCCTCAGGGCCCAGGGCAAGGAACACCAAGGCATGAGGAGTTTCCAATGAATGGGAAGGTTTTAATGAGCATCACAAAGGTGAGGGGAATACAAACTCTGAATCCAGCATTTATTACCATTATTTCAGTGGCTGAGCAGAGGGAAGAGGCTCAGCCCTGCTTAGCTCGTTCCCAGACACACAGGCCACTGGAGGGAAGTCCTTGGAATTGCTTCTCTACCCAGCAGAGGGGCTAAGAGAAGGGGGAGAGGTCGCTGCTGCTGCTGCTGCTGCCATCAGAAGCAGGGAGTCCTCAAGTAGCGAGCAGACCTCCAGAGGTGCTGACCTCCAGAGGTCAGGACAGGCCCAGAGTCAGGCAAGAACATCAGACATTGGTAGGGTATATGGGCTGAACAGGTGAGGAAACTCTCGGGGTCCCCAAACAGCATTGAGATCTCACAGAGGGGCCCCTAGGGTCTGCTGGCTCCAGGGACTGAGACCCTCAGGGAGGCACCCCCAGCCTGAGATACTCACAAAGAGGCCCTGATATCGCCCCTCACCCTGTTCAGCAAGGGTCAGGAGAAGGGAGGAAAGGGGACTGGGTGGGCAGAGGATTCTGAGGAAGGAAGGAGCCTGGGAAGAGCACCAGGGGCAGAGCATGGGCCAGTGCCATGAAGGTGTGGCAGGAGGAGGTCTTCTAGCTGCTGCTCTGCTGCTCCTGCTGGCGGATGAGGTTGGCAATGGGGCTGGTGATGCCACCTATCAAGGTCCAGTACTCATCAAAGCTGATGCGCCCATCGTGGTTGGCATCCAGGTTCTGGATGAGCTTGTCAGCGGCCTTTCGATTCCCTGTGTCCTGGGGAGGAATAAGGAGTCAGCAATATGGAGGGTGGCAGCCCCAGAGAGCCCCCAGACAGGACCCTAGGCAGAGTCCCAGGGTCTGGCCTGGGCAGCTGCTGTTCTTGGAAAATTCAAACAGAGCCCTCACTGGCTAGGCCTGGGAACCCAAAGAAGGCAGAGGCCTGTGGGGGGTAGGCAGTGGTGGAGACCCTGGGGGTGGTAACTCTGAAAAGACAGAAGCTTGGTGGGGAGGGGGAGTCAGGGCCCTCAGGTGGGGACCTTACTGTCAGCATATGGTTCAGCTCTTTCTGGAGCATCTTGCGGAAGCTGCTCTTGCTGATCTTGTTCTTGACCAGGCTGTGCTTAGACACGTATTTGTAGAAGTTTTCCACCAGGACGACGACCGCCTTCTCCAGCTCCGTGTAGCTGTCCGCCATCTCACTACTTCACCTCCTTGCAGGCCTGGGCACCGTGAGGAGGGAAGATGAGAAGCGCCCCCACAGGCCAAACCTCCTCCTTCACGCCCACTCTAGGCCCTGGTCTCCTAAACTGGCTTGTCCTCTGGAGAAGGGAAAAGGCCAGGAAAGGGGAATGCAGGGAGGGTGCAGGGGTGGGCCCTGGAATGAGAACTATGTGGCCCTCTCATCCAGGTGCTCCCCAGCCCAACAGCCTCAACAGGTTCTCCAGGCCCTTCCCCAGCCCTCGGCACTGGGCTGCTGGCTCATCAGAGCTCTGGTGATAGCAAGAGGCTCCCATGGGAAGAGGAGGAGAGTAACTGCCCAGCACTCCAGCCCAGCTCCCTGGTTGGCCACCCGGGGCCACTGCTCTGGCGGCAAACACAGCTAGGAACTGCTGGGAATAGCCAAGAGGATGGGATCAGGGGCTATTATCTCCCACCCCCAGGACTGACTGAGACCCCCACCCCAGGCAACAAACCAAGAGACAGGGACCCAGACCCTCCCCAATTCCTTCGCCAGGCTGCAGGGCAGTGAGTCCAGGGTCTCAGGCCATGGCTGCCCCTCTCTGGGAAAGGACCAGGTCTTGTTCCATCAAATCAGATTTTGTGCGCAACACCCCAGCCATACTCTGCTACCTCTCCTCCCTCACACCCATCCCTAAATATACAGCAAGACCCACGAACACCTCCCACCCCTTACCTAAAGAGGAGCCAGGCCCAGATCTGCCCCAGCTGGAGACGGACCCTGGACACAGCGGCAGCCTGCCAGAGGCCACATGCACCACCCCCTCGCCCCAGGACAAAAGGCACTCACATTCCAAGTGGATACAGCCTTCTGAATAACAGGATATGAGGGGAGCAGGCGGATCTACTCTGTGAGTCGCCGCCCATGCCCAGAGCCCCCCCAAGTCAACAGGGCAAAGCAGACTCCCCTCCCACCCCCAAGCCCAGGAATGAGCTCCAGCTGCCTTGCCCAGCTGGTCCTGGAGAGGGGAGGTGGGCACAGCGGGGACACAGCCACTGTCTGGGCCTGACTAACCGAAACTCTGATTTGGAAGGGAGGTCTGCTTCACCAAGCCCCACCACAGCAGCTGCCTGCCCTGCCACCTGCCTTCCAACCCGCCTCGTGGCCGTTCCCACTCCCATGCCCGTTTACCACCTTTCTAAGTTTTTTCTCTGACAAAGCTTTTTTCTAAAGGTAAAAAGAGATGGAGAGAGAGTAGGCCAGGATCCCATAAGGAGAGTGGAGAGGGAAAGGGGTCAGGCTGGAGCATCTCTGAAGGGAAACCCTGCCTTTCTCTTCTGGCCTCACCCACCTGACCACTCCGGTTGGTGGCTAGAAGGACGAGGGATAGCTGATAGTCCTGGGACTGCAGAAAACCATACTCTTTATTGGTTAAGTGTGTAACTGTGTGGTTCCATGTTGACACCTTTGTAAGACTTTCATACAAACTCTCCAACATTCACAAATGAGGAGGAAGACAATTGTTTCACCCATGATCTGTCTGCTCCACTGCCCTCGGGTCAGGGGGGAGCCCAGGCCCATGGCCAGCATTCCTAAGGATTCTGAAAACTGTGCCCATTTCAGGAAGGATTGTGCCAAGAGGTGAGCAAATTTAGAGAACTCCCCACCCCCACCCTTAACCATCCCAGACCTGGTCCCTAAGTGAGGAATCCTGCAGGAACCAGTCAGGGAGACAGAACGGAAAAGGAATGAGTGTTTGGGTGGCGTGCCTCTGCCCCTCGCCCCTGTGGCCAGCCCACCTCTCCCACCACCTGCTTTCTCAGAGTCATTTCTCTGGCTAGAGGAGACTCCTCCTGCCCTTCCTCAACACCATGCCTAAACCCCGCCTGGCCTCTGCCAGCAGCCAAGCAGGCAACACTCAGTCACTGGCTCTCAGGGGTGCCAGGTGACCCAGACAGGTAGCTTCAGCTCCCGTACCCTCCCCACCTTCCTCTTGTAAAATGGACAGTGCTGGAGATAACCATCTGGACAAGTGTTTCTGAAGCTTTTTCTGAAGGAAGGGTATCCTCCCCTGGGGACCAGGAGACAGCTCTACCACCCCACCCATTCCATAGCCACCTGCTCCTCATGCCTGCCAGAGGGTCTCCAGGCATGAGATAGGGGAGAGGGGAAGATGGACAGAGTATACTAGACCCTTTCAAAACAGTGGGAATGGCAGGCTGGTTAGCTAACTTGGTTAGAGCATGGTGCCGATAACACCAAGGTCCAGGGTTCAATCCCTGTACCAGCCAAGTGCCAGAAAAAAAAAAAAAAAGGGAATGGGGAGACCACTTGTCTTCCAAAGGGCCATCAGCCCTCCCCAACACTCTCATTATCTTCTCATTGGCTGATTCATGACTGAGCAACCAGGAGTCGCCCACCCCCACCCCACCCACCTCAGCCCAGCTTGCTGACTTCTCCAAAAGCCTAAATTGCCCTGACACCATGACCCTGGATCTAAGCCACTGCAGCCCCACCCTCCCCCCCAGGTTCTGAGCACCACCCCTCCAAGTGCCTCCTAACCACCCGCCACCTGCCCAGTCCTCTTCAATCCAGAGCCCCCCACCTTCCTAGTCCCCTTCAATCTGGAGCCCTGAACGTCTACCACGCCCTCCAAAGTTCACCTTCTCTTCCCACTCCTCACACACTTGTTGAGTTTTAAATTATTTCCAAGCATTGGGATGTGTCTGTAGACTCCTGTGCCTCCTAGTCACTGTTCTCTTCAGAGTCTAGCCCACTTTCAAGCCTAAGTTTGTCAATCTGTTTTCCTTCTATCTACCTCGAACTCTTTCACTCATTTATACACCATTCATTTGCTTACTCATTCATTCATTAACTCATTTATTCACTCTCATTTATTCACTTACTTGTTCAGTAGTGCATTCATTCTCTCACTCACTCATTTATTCCCTTTTTAGTTCATTTGTCCCAACTGCTTTCAACATACAGGAAAGGTGCAATCTGAACTGAACCAATGTACCTATCTCTATCTGCAAGACTGTTTCAGACTGATCTCTCCAGCCTCAATAGCCCCATTCTCTGCTCCCTCTTAAGCTCTTTTCCCAGTTCCACAAGGCTAATCATTCACACAGGTGCCCTGCCTCATGCCTCTCCACCCACGCAGGGCTCCCTGCATCTAACTCACACATACACACAGAGCAAAGAACTCTGCCATTGTCAATCCGCTCTGCTTGGGCAGTCCATCTACCTTCTACCCGTTTCTGTTTTCAGAGCAGGAAGCCAGCTCCCCTGAAGTTTCTTCCGGACAAGTGGATTGGAGGAGTTTGGTATGGACGCATGCACACGCGTGCGCGCACACACACACATGCGGGTCAGAGAGCTCTACTAGTTGGTGGGGAAAGGCTGAGCCTGGCTCCCTAACACCCCTGCCCTCCTTCCCATCCTGACTGGGCTGGGCAGGGAGTGCTTCAATAGTGTGGTGGCTCTGCCAAGCAAAGCAAGTCAAGCCGGGACCTGCCTAGCTTCTGAGGTAGAGAAGCTGCCGAGGTTCCCAGGTTCAGCCCCTCTCAGGGAACTCCCAGGCTCCCCCAAGGCCTCGCCCAGGTTCCTCCACAGTCTCATCGTCCCTCCCAAGGAACAGCTCCCCACACACAATGGGGCCTGCATCAGGGACCTGCCTGAGTCCTGAGGTAGAGGAGAGGCCACCCCAGCCCCTGCCTCCTCTCCTGGAGTTCTCAGCCTCCCTGGGCCCTCCCAGGTTCCTCCTGGACCCCATTGCCTCTACCAGGACACAGCTTCCAGATCCCTGTGAGGTCTGCGTCCAGGGTCTGATCATTCCCCAACCGCCACCAACACACATTTGCCCTTTTCTGTTTGGGGAAGATCGAGCAGCTGTGGCAAAGCTCCCAAACACTCTGCCCGGTGACCCAGCCCCTGGAGAGGAGCCCAGTCAGCTGCAGGGCTGGGGAGGGGTCTTGCCACCCCATCCACTTCTCTAAAGGCCTCACCCAGCCCCCAAACCTACCAGGACTCCCCATTTCCAAATTGGCCTTCGGGGAAAGTTAATAACGAAAACCTGCCCTGTCTCTGGCAGGCCCCTCTCCCCAGGCCCCTTTCACTGCCCCTTCTCCTGGCCTCCCAAGCCAGCAGGGGCCCTCCAGCAGCCCCAGACCTCCCAGACCAGGCCCAGCGTGCTCACCTGCCTCCTCCGGTCCACCTTCTCTGCAGCAGGGCTCTGGGGCCTGAGCTCTGGCACTGCCAAGCTGCTCCCCGCGCTCAGCCCAGCTGGGACTCCTCCCCGCTGCACTCCCAGAATCTGTCCCACTCCCTCCTGGCCCTGCCTGGCTGAGCTGGCTCGGTGGGGAGGTAGTGACTGAGCTCCCTCTTGACTTGGCCCTGGGTTGGGCCCTTGTTAAAGAGATACACACCTTTTTTAACACCCCTCTGCCCCCACCCCAGAGGGAGTGGTAGAAGCTGGCATTCCCCCAACTCCATCCTCCTTACCCTGCAGGGCCTGAGCAGAACCGGTAGAGAGAGGAAGGGAAGCACTGTCACCTGCCCTTCTCACCTGGGTCACTGAGAGCCCAGTTTCAGGGACCTCCAACAGACAAGTTCTGATAGCAGAAACTTCCTTGCTGTTGGGATTTCAGGAGTAACGCCTGGTTTCTGTGGGCTCAAGTCACGAGGCAGGCACCAGGAACCAGGCTGGCTCTCTGGTCTTCCATCCTCAGTTCAGCCCATCAAGAGCTCTCCTGAGACCCATCCATAAGATCCCTCCTGTACAGCAGAAATCTCCTCTGGAAACGCCCTACCCCCCACCCTTTCCCTAAGAGACCCAAGGAAACTGGCCAGCTTGACCTCCCTATTCTGGGGCAGCAGCTGAAACCAGAAAGGGGACCCACTGACCCACTCCAACAGTAATGACTTTCTTTCACTGTGCACTCACTGTGTGTCAGGCTCTCTGATGAGTACTTTACATGATGCATCACATTTTCCTCCTAACAATCCTATGAGGAAAGTACTATTAATATCCCCATTCTACAGATAAGGATACTGATACTCTAAGATCGTGCTCCAAAGTTCCAAAGATAGTAAGCGACAGAGCTGGGCCTCAAAGCCAGGCCGGTCAGCCTGTTTCTTAGCCCCATGTTTCCCTCGCTATTAGTCAGCCAAGCCCTAGGACACCTGGGTTCATTCCTTTCCCCAGGTATGCACACATGCCCTCATCTCCTGTTGGAGGGCGGACCCACTGGCAATGAGGAGCCTGTCCCTCAGAGAGGATCAGGTCTCCCACCTTTTGGGTCTGGTACCACCCTCAATCCAAATCCATGGGGAAAAGTTAGTCCCCATTCATTCGCCCTGCCAACCACTCCAACCCCACATGTGCCACCGATGGCCCCGTCATTCACCCACAAGCCCCTTCACCCATGGGCCCTGGTGGAGTGGGTGTCCAGTCAAAACAACATCTTTCACTTTTTACATCTTTTTTATTAATCAAATGATACAAAAAAAACCCCATCATTCTAAATGCCCAAGCACCCAGCTGGTCCTCTCGCCCCAAAGTCACAGCCTCCCCAGCCTCTCCCCAAACATGCCCTCCTTCCTCCCCCGCCCAAGCCCAAGGACAGAGTCCCAGGAGGTGGCTGGGGTAGAGCGGATGCAGGAAGGGAGTGCACTGGACAGACAGCTAGAGTGGGTTGGGGAAGAGATTAGGAGGGTAAGCTTTTAGAGACCCTTCCTAGTACCAAATATTTAGCCATACTCCCAGCCCCACTCTTCAAATCATTTCCCATAGCCCAGCTCCTCTGCCCTTCCCCCACTACCAAATCACCTGACCCTTAGATCATCCTTATCTCTCCAGCATCCCTCAATATCCATCCCTGGCCCCAACCCACCCCTTGAGTCTCCCTCTGGTGGGGACTCCTGGACCCATGAGCTTCACAGAGTGCCCAGGACAGAAGTGCAGAGACCCCTGCACTAGGAAGGGTGTTATGAACCTGAACCTTGCAGAGGTGAGGAGAGGTGCAGGCTGGGGATTAGGGTGGTGGTGGTGGAGAGAAGTTTTATTTCCAGGCCACAGTCTCTAAGGTCCCCTCTCCCCAACAGCCCCCCAAGAATTCCAGGGGGAAGTTCTCAACTCCCCCGGGCAGGACTCTCCATCTTCACACTCTTGGCTGCTTCTCCAATCAGCTCCCAGAAACTCCCGAACTCCAGTTTAGAGTTGTTACAGCTGCCAAGGTTGGCAATTTTCTCTTCCAGCCCACAATTGCTCTGAGGGGAGAGAAGACACCACAGATCAGCGAGGCAGCACCTTCAGATCTTCCCACCCCACCCTGCCCAGGGGCAGCAGCAGGACCTGAGCCTACCTGGCACTGACAAGGGGGCAGGGCTGGGGGTGGTTAGTGCCAGTGTGGGTGGGGTCTTGGAGCACTTGCTTGGGAAGTCAGGGTACTGGCTGGGGCGGGGCCCACTCCCCCAATACCGGCATAAGGTGGGGCAGCTGCTGGGTGACCAGTTCCTGGAGCTCAGAGGGGGTCAGTGTCTCCTTCCCACCCTCCACCGAGTACTGGTGAAAGTTCTTGATGAGGGTCTCAATGGCCCTCTCCACATCACTGAATTCCTGGGCATCCTGAGGGCAGAGGACAGCACCACGTCAGGTACGTTCAAATGACCTTATGATACCCAGCTTCCCAGAAGCCTGGCAAAGCCACCAGGGCAGAAGACAGTTGGAAGGTATGTGGGCTCCTGCCCACTCCAGAGCCCAGAGTCCAGTCCCTCTCCCTTGGCCCACACCCCAGCCTCCAGGCCACCGTGGACTCTGCCCTGAGCCACAGGTTGGGCAAGGCTTGCCTCCCGCCACCACCCAGCAGGCAGGGCAGGTCCTAGCACGTGCCCAGACAGCCTCTTCCCAGGAGGGCTCCATCTACATCACCCTGTGTGGGCACCAGGAAAGGGGCTCCAGTCTCACTGGCAGAGTCTGGGGTGCAGGGCAAGGCCAAGGTGAAAAGCAGAAATCAGTGGGAGACATAGACCCTCAGGGTGGAGGACAGGAGCATGGGAACAGAAAGACAGTCCGGGAGTGAATGAGCCCACCTCGGCATTAGCTGACCGACACTGTCCCATGGTGCCCGGTGTGTGCTTGGTCCTTTGGTGAGACTTTTGTCGTCCTACAGCCTGCCCCAGAGGAGCTGATAGCTCATGATCTGCCTAGAGGAGGGGGTGGCCTGCAGTGAGAGGAGAGTTCAGCATTTCTTTCTCAACTGCCCCCTTTGGCTCCACCCCAGATATTCTGCACCTCACCCAAGGGGTCAGAGCCAACTCCACATGAGCCCAGTCCCTGCCCAGGTTCCAGGAGCTAAGGTCACAGCCCCCAGGCCAACTCATTTAGTAGGAATCCCTAGGGCCTCAACCTTAGCCTCATTCCTCCCACCTCCTTCAACCACACACCTCTGTTTGAAACACATACATGCTGACCTGCAGGACCTGGTCCCCCTGGCAAACTAGGGTAGGATAGTCTGCGTGTGCCTTCTAGACAGGGGGCAGCCCATTTGGGTGGAAAGCCCTGGGTTTCCTTACCTGCTGGCAGCCGCTGGGACAGGACAGGAGGAGCCAGCTCACCTGAGCTCAGCTCTTATACCTGGGGGAAGGGAGGGGAAGCAGGGGGCTGGGCCTCATCCCTAAGCCACCCCCTCTATTGCAGCAGCCTGGGTTGTGAGCCAATTCTGTGGGCCCCACCCTCCTTTGGCTGGAGCTCCAGAGGCTGCCCCCACCCCTGCCACAGGAGGGAGCCATGGAAGGCTGGGTCTGGGACGGCCCTAGGCCCCAAACAGAGCCATAGGGAGAGAGGGGAGGGAAGTGGGAAAAGGAGAGAGGGAGGGCTCAGAGACACCTTGGGGTTGCACTGGAGGCAGAAGGTCCTGGGGGAATTGTGGGGCAGGAATTAGAGGGGGTCTGAGTCAGGAACTGGGAAAGGAGAAGCAGAGGCTCATCAAGGCATTGTTTGTGGGACAGAGGAGAGTGGGGTATGTGGGTTGAGAGAGGTCTGAAGGGGCCTCTGGGTACTTTCTGTGTAACACACACACACTCCTCCCAACCAGGGCCAATTTAGATAGTGACACCCAAGTCCTGAGGGCAGAGAGATGAATGGAGGAGACTTGGGTCAGGAGGAAGGAGCAGAGGCCAGCCTAGTGGAGGTGTCAGACTGAGTGTTGACCTGACTTCGCTTCAGCTCCCCTCAGCAGCGCAGAGTGTACCTGTGCAAGGCCCAGATGGGTTGCCTGGCAGCAAAGCACCTCTCCAGACTGGTTGAGCTGCATGCTCTACCCTCCCTCAGAAGCCCACGCCTCCCTAACCCAGTAGTTGCATCACAGCCCGCCCCCACCCACCCCCAATCCAGTACCCAGGATGACACCCCAGTGAGCCTAGACTGTAGGTCCAGATACTCAGCCCAACCCAGGTGGCCCTTGTCACCTGTCCAGGCCCAGAGGCCTGGAGGCTGAAGTCATGGAGAGAGGGTAGGAAGAAGGGCAGAGGGGTCTGCCTGGGTTAGGGCAAGGATGGGGTGGGACCCAGAGCCAAATTTCCTGGGCTTTTTTCCTAAACTCTTAAGATGAGGACATATATCCCAATGCCTAACACAGTGTCACTTTCTGGGAATCTCCTGTTCTTTGGGTCTCAATTGGGGGCCCCTCCAAGAGTGTCTCATTCTAAGTTCCTCTGAAGGGCCTCAATCTGGGGACCCCTCCGAGTCACCCAATCTGAGGTTTCTCAGAGTACCTCAGCCTAGAGTCCCCCCGAGGAGTTTCCCAGGGTGGGAGCCCCTCTAGAATGTCTCTGCCAATAGCCCCTCAGAGTCCCAGACTGGGGGTCCCTCTGAGGTCTTTGTCTGGGGCCCTTAGATGGGAGGTCAAAATCTGGTACCCTTTCATGGTGCGCGATGGGGAGCTTGCCTCAGCCTAATTATTCCTCTGAACTAAGAGCTGCCTCACATGGACACCTGGGGGCATAGCAGTGACAGCCCTAGGAGGCAGCCCCACTGTGCTGCCCTGCCCTGCTCCCTCTGGTGGTGAGCAGTGCAAACCACATGCCCCTCAGGCCAGGAAGGATAAGGAAGAGCGGTAGCATGTTCCCTAAAAGTTTGGCTTCCTGCAGCGCCACCACACCCTCACCCCATAGTCCTTGAGCATGACCTGGTGTCCCTCCTTCTTCTGCTTCACCCCTGCTATGAAGAGAGGTCGGGAAAGTGGGTCTAGCATTCCCAAGTGCCCCTCCAATGAGGATCCCAGTTAATCAGAGGCTCTGGAATTCCTGCCCGGTTCCACCTATTCTTGTCTTTGTGACTTAACCTCTCCAAAATTTGTTTCCTCATCTTTTTTTTTTTTTTTTAAAAGATGACCGGTAAGGGGATCTTAACCCTTGACTTGGTGTTGTCAGCACCACGCTCAGCCAGTGAGCGAACCGGCCATCCCTATGTGGGATCCGAACCCGGGGCCTTGGTGTTATCAGCACCGCACTCTATCGAGTGAGCCACGGGCTGGCCCCTGTTTCCTCATCTTTAACATAGGACTTAAAAATAGTACTTACCTCAAAGGGCTGTGAGGATTCACTAATATAATGCACGAAAATGGGGCCGGCCCGTGGCTCACTCGGGAGAGTGCGGTGCTGATAACACCAAGGCCCCGGGTTCGGATCCCATATAGGGATGGCCGGTTCGCTCACTGGCTGAGCGTGGTGCTGACAACACCAAGTCAAGGGTTAAGATCCCCTTACCGGTCATCTTTTAAAAAAAATAATAATAATAATAATGCACGAAAATGTTTAGCACTGTGCCTGGCACATAGTAAGCCCCTGACACGTTCACTGCTCATGCTATCGTCCAGTGCACAAACCCCAGGAATAAGAAAACTGAGAGCAGCACCATCGGCTGGGCCCCAGGAGGCACCTGGTGGGAGAGTCACCTCACCTGCCCCAAATTTGTCTCTACTTTTCATATATTCATTCATCAGTCATTTGTTTATTGAGCACCTACTCTGTATGAGAGCTGGTCTACATGCTGCAGAATGTTGGAAAATGGATGACACTCCTTGTCCTCAAGGAGCTCATAATTCTCAGACCCACCCTCAGGACAAGGCAAAGTTTTCCCACACCCTGGTCTCAGAGAAGAGATGGTGAGGTATGAGTAAGAAACGTTTGTGTTTCAAGGGGGAAGCTTTATTTGGGGGGAGAAAGATTCTACAGCCCTGCCCACCCCTGTCCTGCCTGCCCCCATCCTGGCCAGCTGGCTTTACTTTTTCCGGGTCTCTAGGGCCTTCTCCTTCTTGATTTCCTTGGCCAGCTCCCCAATCAGTCTCCAGTACTCATTGAACTTGAGCTCCGAGTCCTGATTCACATCCAAGCTCTTCATCTTCTCATCTAGGGAGCCCACATCCTGAGGAGACACCAAAGGGAAGGTTCTTGAGACAGGGAGGGAGGGAAGAATTGCCAGCTGCCATTCTCTTAGGACCCTTCCCTCGGAGAGCCCTAGCCCAGCCCTTACCTGAAGGATGAGGCCGCAACCCCGCGACTGTAGAGCCATGGGGTTCCAACTCCAAGGGGCAACCAGCAGAAGGAAGGGGGCCTCATTTGTAATGTTTGCTATGGTGTAAATATTCCCACCATGGCTGATTATAAACCAAAAACACGATGTCACAGAATTCAGAGCTGGGAAGGGACGCACACAATCTGCGGGCTCCCCCATACCACTGCACCACCTGTTGTAGGGATGGATGAAGTCTGACCACCCAAAGCCTTCTTTAGGCCACCCTCCTTCTTCACAGAAAGCTAGAGAAGCTCACAGCACTTAGCTGCTCATTTGCAGAACCTTAATGTCTTCTCATTTATCCAGCTGGGTCCCTAGCCTGGTAGATCAGGGGAATGGCAATGACATGGGGATATCTGGCTTTCTAGGGGGCCCTTGACAAAGCCTTTCATGAAGCCCTGTCAAATGTATGCGTACTCTAAAGTGGATGTCATGATCAAAGGATTTGTTGCCAGATAAATAATCACAACCAAAAAAATTGACTGTTGAACAATAATAGGTCAAACCAGAGAAGGATGTCTCTGGGAGAGTATGATGCTCAAAATGTGAATCAACATTTGGATGAAGGTAGAGAAGGACTCGCCAAATCTCTAGACAGGACAAAGCTAATTCACAGAAGAGCTAAACAAGACTTTTTTAAAGCTACAATCATGCTTAATTATAAAATACAATGAGTATTGCCAATGGTAGGCAAGGATGGCTAGTGTAACATTATATTGGGAAGTGGAAAAATACTCAATTAGTAAAAAGAAAGAAATAAGTATTAGGAAACAAGAAGTAAATTCACCAGTATTAGCAATTATATAATTGTATACTTAGAAACAAACAAAAGAATGATAATAGCTAACATTTCATCAAATGTAAGCACTTTATAGTGCTGACCATTTCAAGCATTATGCTAAACATATTACATGCTTCATTTCATTTAATCCTCATAATCTGCTAGAATGAAAGGCTCTATAAGCACAGGGACCTTGTCTGTCTTGTTCACCATCAAAATCCCAGTGCCTGGGAGAATGTGTGTGTGGCACATAACAGATGCTTGTTCCCCACTGTAACCCAAAGCCTAGGACAGTGTCAGGACAGGGCACAGTCAGTGCTCAATAAGTATGGGTTGAGTAAATGCAACACCAATCCAATCAGGAAGGTATTACAATGAGTCTGTTTAACAGATGAGAAAATTAAGGCACAGAAAGATTAAATAACTAACCAATAGTGACAGGTTAGAACTTGCATTTGAGGGGCCGGCCCGTGGCTCACTCGGGAGAGTGCGGTGCTGATAACACCAAGGCCCCGGGTTCAGATCCCACATAGGGATGGCCAGCTCGCTCACTGGCTGAGCGTGGTGCTGACAACACCAAGTCAGGGGTTAAGATCCCCTTACCGGTCATCTTTTAAAAAAAAAAGAACTTGCATTTGACCCTAGATTATCTGACTCGGAGCTTATGCTCTTATCCAGTACTCTGTATTTCTTCTCCAAAAAACTGTTAGAAATGATAGGTGTCTGGTTACAAAACTAATGCATAAAAACCAACAGCTTTTTAGGTATAAGAATATTAACTATATTTAGAAAATATAATAAGACAGATCCTATTTTTAGGGCCAGGCCATAGCTCACTCGGGAGAGTGTGGTACTGATAACACCAAGGCCACAGGTTCGGATCCCATATACAGATAGCCGGTTGGCTCACTGGCTGAGAGTGGTGCTGACAACCCCAAGCCAAGGGTTAAGATTCCCTTACTAGTCATCTTTAAAAAAAAAAAAATCCTATTTTAAAAAGTAAAAAAAAAAAAATACACTTAGGCATAAATGTAGAAATCTATTATGCCTTCCTGAAGAAAACTGAGGGATTGTAAAGGAAAAAACAAATTTTTTTCTCTCTACTCACACTCAACACAGAACACTTGTGACCTCAGATATTTGGGGTTTTTCCACAGCAAGTAATTCTCCAGCAGACACCGACTGGGTGTCCTACATATAATTCGATTCAATTCTGACACTATCTACCTGGAGATAGCGTCAAATCTCACAGGTACAGGCTCAGTCACATGAGTCTGCCCCCACTTCAAAGACATTGAAAGTCCCAGGTTATGAACTGTCCTGTCCAATTGGCTATAAATCCAGGTTCCCACAACTCCTCTCCGCAGGTTCAATAATTTACTAGGATGGCCCACAGAACTCAGGGAAACACTCTGCTTACATTTACCAGTTTATTATAAAGGATACAAATAAACAGCCAGATGAAGAGACGTATAGGGCAAGGTATTGGGGAGAGGCTTCTTTGCCCTCCCCAGGCACACTACCCTCCAGGCACTTCCATGTGTTCAGCAACCCAGAAGCTCATCAAATTCTGTTGTTCAAGAGTTTTTATACCCATAGCAGCCAGCCACCAAAAAAAAGTTTTTATAAACCAGCTGGCCAGTTAGCTCAGCTGGCCAGTTAGCTCAGTTGGTTAGAGCATGGTGCTGATAACACCAAGGTCCAGGGTTCCATCCCTCTACCAGCTAGTCATCAAAAAAAAAAAAAAAGAGTTTTTACAGAGCTTAATCTCCAGCACCCTTTCTCTTCTCCTCACACCTTCCCAGAGGTCAGTGAGTGGGGTTGAAAGTTCCAGCCCTCCATCACTTGGTCCTTCTGGTGACCAGCCCCATCCTGAGGCTATCTGGGGGCCCCCACCCTAAGTCATCTAATTAGCATAAACTCAGCAGTGATCAAAATCAGCTTATTATGGGGCCAGCCCAAGGCTCACTTGGGAGAGTGTGGTGCTGATAACACCAAGGCCATGGGTTCGGATCCCATATAGGGATGGCCAGTTGGCTCACTGGGTGAGCGTGGTGCTGACAACACCAAGTCAAGGGTTAAGATCCCCTTACCGGTCATCTTTTTTAAAAAAAGGGCCATGGGTTCGGATCCCATATAGGGATGGCCAGTTGGCTCACTGGGTGAGCGTGGTGCTGACAACACCAAGTCAAGGGTTAAGATCCCCTTACCGGTCATCTTTTTTAAAAAAAGGAAAAGAAAATAGGACTATAGTCCGGAATGCACACCATGGTAAGCCATGTATGCATTTGATGAGGAAAGGGTAAGAGAAAGCTTTTATTGGCAAAAAGGGAGAGGTTCACATAAGCTGCTTAGATATAGAGTTCATTGGTTTCAGAGGCTCAAAGCCAGATTTGTCACCAGTTCATTGTTTGAGATGCCGTTACTAAGCAAGATTCTTTCTGAGCATCTTATCTGAATTACTGCAGTTCTAAAGAATGTCTAACGATAAACCTTATCACAGAAATGCGTGAAGGACACGAAGGGATTTCTGATGGGTTTTAGAAAGTCCTTGGAAACAGTTCTTCTCTCAGAAAAGCAAGCATGAGCCCCCCTCCTTTGTGTTTTTCCCAGCCCTGTTTTTGTCTGGTTCTGACAGAAAGTGATTTCATCAACCTCCACAATGGCAAAAGCTACCAAAAAACAAAAGTCAAAGAAATTACAAAGGGCAAATTAGGGGAAAATATTTGTAACACATATAACAAAAGTCTAATTTCTTTATTGTATAAAGAACTATAAAAAGTCAATATAAAAAAGTCTTTAGGGCCGGCCCCTGGCTCACTCAGGAGAGTGTGGTGCTGGTAACACCAAGGCCATGGGTTCGGATCTCTATATAGGGATGGCCAGTTGGCTCACTTGGGAGAGTGTGGTGCTGACAACACTAAGTCAAGGGTTAAGATCCCCTTACCAGTCATCATTTTTTTTTTAAAAAAGTCTTTGATATGGGCCGGCCCGTGGCTCACTCGGTAGAGTGCGGTGCTGATAACACCAAGGCCCCGGGTTCGGATCCCATATAGGGATGGCCGGTTCGCTCACTGGCTGAGCGTGGTGCTGACAACACCAAGTCAAGGGTTAAGATCCCCTTACCGGTCATCTTTTTGGAAAAAAAAAAAAAAAAAAAAGTCTTTGATAAAAGAAATAAACAGTTCACACCAAAAGCAATATAAATGTTTACCAAAAAAATGTTAATCCCATTACACTCAGAGTTAAAGAAGTGAAAATCAGAAAAAGATACCATTTTCACATTGTAAATAATTAAAGTTTTTTTCTTTTTGGCAGCTGGCCAGTATGGATCTGGCATCCAAATCCTTGACCTTGGTGTTACAAGGCCAGATTAGCAAAAATTAAAAACTTGATAATGCCCATTTTGGGCAAGGACACAGACATTTGTGTGCACTGTGGGTGGCCATGTAAACTGGTACAACCTTGTTAGGAAGTAAGTTGGTAACATCCATAAAAATTAAGAATGAGTTGGGCTGGCCCGTGGCTCACTCAGGAGAGTGCGGTGCTGATAACACCAAGGCCCCGGGTTCAGATCCCACATAGGGATGGCCAGCTCGCTCACTGGCTGAGCGTGGTGCTGACAACACCAAGTCAAGGGTTAAGATCCCCTTACCGGTCATCTTTAAAAAAAAAAAAAAATTTTCTTTTTCTCTTCTTTCAACTTTTTTATAATTTCACTCTCTCATTATTATGGCCTGAATGTTTATGTTTCTCCTCAAAATTCATATATTGAAATCCTAACCCCCAACATGATGGTATTAGGAGATGAAGCCTTTGGGAGGTAGTTTAGGTCACAAGGGTGGAGTCCTCATGAATGGGATTAGTGCCATTATAAAAGAGACCCCAAAGACCTCTACAGCTCTTTCCCCCAATTAAGGATACAATAAGACAAAAATCTGCAACACATAGAACAGCCCTCATCTGAACCCATGCTGGCAACCCGATCTTGTACATCCAACCTCCAGAACTGTGAGAAATAAATTTCTGTTGTTTATAAGCCACCTAGTCTATGGTACTTTGTTATAGCAGCCCAGACTAAGACACTTGCTCAATATCTTATTCAGCACCTACTAGGAGTCACACACTGCTCTACACATTGGAGATAAAACAGTGAGCAAATTCCTTTCCTTCATGAGACTTACATTCTTAGCAACACGTAAGTACATATGTAACGGAGGTCAAGTTGTGATGGACGTATTCTGAAAGAAAATAAAGCAAGAGTAAAAGCATAGAGCGCAATGTAGGTGACGTTGTATTCATTGGTGAAGGAAGACCATGCTGAGTATTTGCCATTTGAGCAGAAATCTGAATTAAGTGAGTAGTAGGCCTACCAAATACCTACCAGCATTCTGGACCTGGAGAGGGAAAGTAGGGACAGTAAGTATAAATTATTCTCATTGCTGTTAAGAAGTTTTGCTATAAAGGAAAGCAGATATATGGCACAGCTGGAGGGAGATTTTCTTTTTTCTGTTTTTTTTTTTTTTGTTGTTGTTGTTGTTTGTTTGTTTTTAAGATGGGAGATAAACAACATATTTGTAAACTGATAAAAATGATCCAGTAAAAAGGGAAAAGATGATGAGGCAAGAAAGAGAAGGAATAATTGCAAGAGGAAAGTATTTAAGTAGGACAGAGGGCGCCAGTGGAGGCCTGGTCTTGGGAGCAGAGACAGATCATTCCTGGCGACAGGAAGGAAGGCAGGGTATGTGCTGAGAGTCTGGCAGATTTGGGGGAAGGAGCACATAGAAGTTTCCAGATTGTTCCTATTTTCTCAGTGAGAGGGAGAATGTGGAAAGAGGTACAAGATTTTAAGGAGAGGAAAAGTTGTGAAACAATCATCTGAAAGAGCTGGTAAATTAATCAACCAGGGAAATGTGGTAGAATTGCAGGTATTGCCAAGGGTCCTCCTGGGGTTTGTGGTTGTGGATTTAAAGTAAGGCAAGTCAACATACTTGTGCATTCTTCTCCAGTCAGATTCAGCTATCCAAGTGCAGGGGTTAGAATGGTGGATTTAACCAGGCTTGGGATTTTCCAGACAACTAGGACAGAGAGAGACAGAATCAAAGAAGTTGAGGGAGTGATTATAATGACAAGCCTTAGAACCTGAGCTGAGAAAGAAGGTAAATAAAGATATGAGGGATGATGATAGGAGATGAAAAAGTGATGGAGTCAAGAGACTGAAGGCTGGGTTGGCCACTTTGCTCAGTTGGTTGGAGCGTGGCGTTATAACACCAAGGTCAAGGGTTCAGATCCCTGTACCTGCCAGCTGCCAAAAGAAGAGAGAGAGAGAGAGAGATCGAAGTTACCAGTGGAGTCAAGGAAATGCTGGCGTGGAGGAACTAGCTAAAGGAACAGAATTGTAATGACAGGAGTGGGGAGTCAGACAAAGGGAGGCTTGAAATCGAGATTTTTGGAAATGGTGCATTATTTTGGTAATGACAAGGTCAGAAGCATGACCAGAGAAATGGGATGCTGAGATGCAAGCAGAGAGATCTTTGGACATGAAGAGTTCAAGAAATTGAAAGGCCTGGGTGTTAGATGAGTTGTCTGTGTGGATACTGAGACCACGGAGAATAACAACAGAAGCAGTGATAAGAAAAACAGTGGGCCAGCAGATGAAGAGTTGTAAGGAATACAATAAGAAGGATGGCAGGGGCCGGCCGGTTAGCTCAGTTGATTAGAGCATGGTGCTGATAACACCAAGGTCCAGGGTTTGGATCCCCATACCGGCCAGCTGCCAAAAAATAAAGAATGGCAGGTGGTAGATGAGCTTCCAAGGAGCTAGGGGTTCTCAGGAAGAAGCAGCAGCTAAGATCTGGACGAAGCAATAAAAAGCAAAAAGGTCTTCCTGCATTTCCAGCCCTAGAAGGAGTTGGATCTAGAAGAAAACAGTCACTGTTTGAAGAGGCTGCAGGGAATGTTGTACCTTCAGGGGAGAACCTCAAGTTTCCAGTAAGAATACAAAAGGAAAAGTCTGAGAAAACGGAAGGTGTAGAGGATTGCACAGATGAAAGACTATGAGTTTCAGAAACTCATTTCTGTTTTAAAAAATCCTTATTCACACACTTTTATGTGCCTGTGAATTTTCAGAAAAGTTGTAAAAGAAACTGTTAACAGCCTGGAATGATATGCCAACTCAGAGTCAATGAAATTTAATTCCCAACTCTCTCCTATGTGTAGGAGAGAAGGAACGACCCTCTCAGGCCGCTGTTGAGGGGACTCCCGTAGGAGGTGAGAAGTAATCACAGATGCTCTTCACAGGGCCCCCTACACTGAGAGTCTATGACTCCATGAAGGTGGCTGTATTTTTATTTTTTATTTTTTTTAATTTATTTTTATTTTTCAAAAGATGACCGGTAAGGGGATCTTAACCCTTGACTTGGTGTTGTCAGCACCACACTCTCCCAAGTGAGCTAACCGGTCATCCCTGTATAGGGATCCAAACCCACGGCCTTGGTATCATCAGCACCACACTCTCCCAAGTGAGCCACGGGCTGGCCCTTGTGTTTTTCTGTTTTTTTTTTTTTTGTTTTTTGGCTTTTTTTTTTAAAGATGACCGGTGAGGGGATCTTAAACCTTGGCTTGGTGTTGTCAGCACCATGCTCACCGAAGTGAGCCAACCAGCCATGCATATATAGGATCCGAACCCGTGGCCTTGGTGTTCTCAGCACTGCACTCTCCCAAGTGAGCCATGGGTCAGCCCTTGTGTTTTTATTTTTGACAAGCCCCTTCCCATTGCTATGCCTCAGTTTCCATATATGTGAAGTGAGAAGTTTGGACTATGTTTTCTCTTGGCCTCCTTCCAGCTCTGATGGTCTGTAAATCTCCTGGAAGCCAGCTCAGGGTCCAGTTCTATGTTGGGGAAATGAGACCCGAGAGGACCAGAGCAGACATGAAAACTCAACAGCATGTCTGATGGGAGCACAAAGCCCAATAACTCATTCCCACTTACACAGACACAGTTATCTTTGCTTACTTAGTTCACACACACACACACACACACACTCCCCAGGCAAGAAAACCCAGAACCATTTAAACATGCAGTCACGGACCCCCTGCACCCTTTCTTGTGATCTCATTGTCATACTCCACAAAATCACCTCACAAAAACTGTGCCATAATCACATCTCACAAAATCTCAGTCCCAGAGAACTCTACCTACCTTGAGCAGGTGAGGCAACTGCTGAGTGACCAGTTCCTTAAACTCATTGACGCTGAGACTGCCCTTCCGGCCCTCCTGCCTTGCAAAGGTGAAGAAGGTGGTGACCACTGTCTCGATGGCTGCTTCCAGCTCAGTCAATGGCTCAGCTGCCATTAGGACCCTGGAGCTGGAGCTGATGTCCTCACGGGGCTGACCTGCAGGACAGGGAAGGAGCAGAGAGGGAGAATCAGGGAGCCTGAAACATCCCTACCTTGGTGTTGCCACTTAGGCCTTTGCCTGCAGGAGGCATTATGGGGAACGAGAGAAGGGACAGAGGCTGAGCTTTAGGCAGGGTACCAGAAAATAGTATCTCAGTTTAGGCGGAGCCAGGGGGTCCCGTAGGTCTCACAGTCTGGCGGCCCTTTTTAAGTGTTTGTGTCTTAGCGAACCCCCTATGGTGATCCATCAGTCTGGAGAGCCTTTTATCTAGAAGGATATTTTCAGTCTGGGGATCCTTCTCTGGAGCCTTCCTCTGTGGGCTTTCTGTCCCAAGGGCCCCTTCTTGTTGTCTTATCCAGCCTCAAAGGGTCATGAGTTTGTTTGTCTCCAAAGCTTGTTTATGTTGAGACCTGGGTCCCCACCCGCCTGAACTCTGCCCTCCCACACACACATTCTGGCCGCTGTCACCAGCAGAGCAGCCCTGGGTCTGGCAAATGCCCAAGTGTGGTCAGGGCTGCCTCAGTCCGGCCAGATCCATCTTCTTTACTTCCCCCCACCCCCATTTCTCCTCAGCGGCAGCTAGGCAGAGAGCTGATCCCAGGACCTACAGACCCTCCCGGTGACAGGGGTCCTGGAACGGGACTCTTCTGACTCCCCGCACCCAGGAAGGGCTTGTTACAGACCCTCACAGCCCCCTGGGGTGCAGGGGGAGGGCTGGAGGAAGGGGACGAGCTCACTCGTCCCTCTTTTTTTGTCCACCTACCCCCCGCGCCCACAAGGACTGTTGCTCGATCTCCCAATACCACTTCCTGAATCCACGTCTGAGCTGGCTCCGGGGACAGGACCTGGGAGCCCAGGGAGAAAAAAGGATCCCTTCAGGGATGGAGGATGCGACTCACCAGGTCAAGGAGGTGGGGTGCAGCGAGCAGGAGCCGTAGGCTGAGGTTTATATGGGCCGGGGAGGGAGGAAACAGCCACTCCAAGCCCGGAGGTGTCAAGTTTCCGTAGTTGATTCTGAAGAGAGGAGACCGCCCAATCACGCCTCTCGCCCTTGGCAATCAAGCCTGGAATCCCAGCCCCCCAGCCCAGAGCCACGCTCGCCCCCCTGGGGGGAGGAGCTGCCGGGACAGATCCCCTTCAACAAGGATCCTAGGGTTCTATCCCTCCCAATACAAGGGGCTGATGCCCCCAGGGCCTCACATCTAATCAGGAGTGTGTCTGATGGGGGTAGAAGGAGGGGGAGGTGATTACTGACAGAGCTCAGCCTTGAGTGGCCTAATCTGAGAAATGCCACAGAGACCCCTCAGAATGGCATCCCACCAAGGACCCTGCAGACCAAGACCCCCTCAGAGGACCCCAAGCTGAGACCCCATAGTGGAGTTGTCAGACTGAAACCCCTCAGGGAAATCTCATGAGGGAGCTCCAGGCTAAGACCCTGGCAGGGGTATTCTCTCTTCCCCTGCCCAACTGGCACAGCCAGCCCCTGGACTACGCAGTAGAACAGGGGCTGCACAGCCAAGCTGGGGGTGAGACATCTCAGTACCCCTACCAAAACCTCTTTTTCTACCTCCTTCCTCCTGCGCCCTGTCTGCTGGTACCCAGCAAGTGGGAGGGGGGCAACCGAGGCTGGGGGAAAGACACAGGACAGCCTGTTCCAGCCCAGGAGACAGAGGGCGCCTCTGTCCTCTCCTGGCTCCTTGCCCCACTGGGTGTCTGTGTGAAGGGGTGGAGCCCATGGGGAGGGGGGCCAGCGGGGGAAGGACGGCTGAAGAAAGTCTCCCCACACAGCTCCAGTAGCCACATTTGCAGCCTCATCCGTCCGTCCAAAACCTGCTCCCACCTTGGGCCCAGGCCGACCGTGAGTATCCTGCCACTAGGTCTCTGGCCTGGCCATGTTGGGGATAAAGGAGCTTCGGAGGGGCTCCGAGAGTCTGGGGACAATGATATTGTGGTACACTGAAAGTCTGGGAAGAATTAGTCAGGATGGTGGCAGTTTGGGATTTGGGGGAGACAAGGTTTGTCAGATGATGAGGGGAGGCAAGAGAAGGTCAGAGAGAGAGCTCAGAGCTCAGTAAAGCAGGAAGCCAGCGGGAAACCGCCCCTGAGCTTCCAGGCCACCTGTCCTTCCCACATGGAGACCTCACCCTCGAGTCCCCTGCCAAGGCCCCCTCAGTCTCCCAGGTGTTGGGGGGGGGCCCAGCCCCTGCCTTGCTCTCCATGGGGTAAGAATAAGAGAACAGACATACAACAGCTGTTTCTGCTCCCCACCCCCACCCCTTCCAGCCTCAGTCTCTGCCACCTCCACTCCATCCTTGCCAAGAGCTCAGGTCCCAGGGATGACTGGGGGTGGCAGAGCATGGATCATATGATATCATGAAGAGGGGCCCAAGGGTACTGTGCCCACTCCCAACTGTACCTTCACAGGACCTCCCCTTTCTCCTCCTCCCCTTTCCTGGCCCAGACCTCTAGACTCCTCTTTTCCCCATTTCTTTCCTCTTTGTTTTCCCACCTGCCCTTCCCCCAGGTTCTCTCAAAACTGTCCCCACATAAAATCCCAGGCTGCTGGGGGCTCCAGGCAACCTCCAGGTGCCCCTCCTGGATGGGGCTGGTAACTGAGCCACCAGTATCTCCCACCCCAGGACCTCCTTATCCCCTCCATCAGCCCCGGCTTGGGTTCCATTTCCTCCATGTCTCTGTGACAATGGCTTCTCATGTCCAGAGTTCAGGTGACACTCACAAGGGCCCCATTGAAGAGCTGAGATGTCATTCTATCAGGGCCCATTGTCTATCCACCCCCAAGCCTGGGGAACGATGGGGACACCTGATCTGAGACACCTGAGCTGCCCCCTGGGGCTGTGGAGGACCTGGTTGTCCCAGGGCCAAGGGAAAGAGGCCCCCTGGCTTGACAGTCTCCTCTGTCAACAGACCCCCTCCACTCTTTTCCTGCTCTCTCCCAGCCCCTTGACCTCATGCACTCAGGTCTTTATCTCTCCCAATACATACAGCCCCATTCCCCTGTTCCCAATGTCCCCACATCAACCAGGCTGGGCCTGGGGTCAGGAGTGGGTAGCAGCAGGGAAAAGGCCTCCAGTTCTTCTCTTCCCCTCTCTGGGAGCATTGACTACAGGGAAAAGGCTCAGACATTCCTCTCATCCTTCCCACCACCCACCTGATGGAAGGGACAATTTTGCAGAGAAGTAAGAACCAAACTGGAGGTAATGGGAGGTGTATCTCAGAGACGCCAAAATGACATATTCAGGAGAGAACAGAGTTGAAGGACCAAAAGAGGCCCCCAGGGTGCTGACAGGAAGCTCTTAGTCAGTGAGATCCTCCTCCCCAAGAAGGTACAGGCTGCCACCCCCTCCACCAGGCTCACCAAGGATGCCAGACTGACTCTTTGCTGGGGTGGGCAATAGAGTCAAGGCTGTGGAGGAGATCCCAGCCCACCACCCCAGCAACAGAGCTTGGCTGTGCTAGGCAGGCAAGGCCCAGGGTAAAAATAGAGCCAGAGGAGGCCTGGCCGGGTCCTGTGACCACCCTGCCTGCCCCACCCTCCTCAGTCTCTGCCCACGCAGCCAGAAGCCACAGCAGACATCTACTTCAGCCTCTGGAGCCAGCTCAGCTCCAGCTCCAGCTCCAACTGCTCTCCCTCCATGCTCCAACCCTGCCCCTCTGGCTGAGGTATGGACTGCGGGACACAGAGAACAGGTCTGGATTTAGGGTCTGCTGGGGTTTCCCCCACATTGTAAAATCTCAGTGAAAGATAAACTGCAGTAGCATCCTGATCTCATGGCTATCTGAGCTGTGGGACCAGGGCCAGGCCAGAGGGCCCCCCTCACTCAGACCCCAGATACCCTGAATCTGGTCCCCAACTAATTTCCATGGTGGGGGGTAGGTAGGTGTGCTGCCGCAATGGGTTCTGAGCTGGAGATGGCGATGGAGACCCTCATCAACGTGTTCCACACCCACTCGGGCAAGGAGGGGGACAAGTACAAGCTGAGCAAGAAGGAGCTGAAAGAGCTGCTGCAGACCGAGCTCTCCGGCTTCCTGGATGTGAGCACAGAGTGGGAGGACAGCGGGCGAAGGGTGGGGGCATGGGATGGGCACCTCCCTGCCATCTCTCCACCCCACCCCAGTTCAGCCCAACCATCTCCTTCCTCCCCTAGGCTGCTCTTCTGGGTTTGTCCAGGCTCCCCTACTGCTCCAGGGTGAAGTCAAATGCCCTGGTTTATTGATCACCTGTCAAGTGGTAGGCCCTGGGTAGATTCATCAATAATGAGGCTCCCAGTCTAGAAGGAAAAAACTGACACTTGAAAGTAAACCATGAACTCCAGGAAGTACACAGAGCCGTAAGAGAGGAGCTGGGAAAGGGCTATGGGAGATTATGAAGCCAGTTGAAGTGAAACGTTTTCTCTGAAGAGGTGGCACTTGACCCATGGATTTCCATTGGAATTTTATTGGGGGAAATGTCGACATTTTAGGAGACGGTGCCTATATACATGAACAAAAGCATGGGAGAGACAAGAATGTAAGCATTCTATAATTTCCTTTGAAGGGCAGGAAGGATGCAGAAAAGTGCACTGCAAATTCTCACCGGGGCCACATAGGAAAGGAGAAGCTGGAGATACAGTAGAAAGTGCACCAGCTCTGAGGTGTTATTAGACTGGGTTCAAATTCTGGCCCTGCTACCACCTAGCTGTGTGACTTCGGGCTCATTTATGTAACCACGGACTGTCAAATTTGTTTCTTCTCTGGAATAGAAGTTAATGAAACCTATCTCATACTGTTTGTATTTGAATTAAACAATGCTTGTAAAGCTCCTAGTGTAGTGCTTGTCACGTGGTCGGACTCAACATATGGTAACTGATGTTGTTATATTAACTCCGCCAGGTTAAGGAGCATATTCTGTGGGTTCGACAGAAGCCCACGAATGTTTTAAGGAGGGAAGCAGAAGAGTCCCACGATTAGATGTAGTTCTCCCTGTCGCTCATCTCCTCAACCACCCCCCTGCCCCAGAACCAGTGCTATCTATACACCTCCCTCTCCTCCCTCTGCAGGCCCAGAAGGATGCAGATGCTGTGGACAAGGTGATGAAGGAGCTAGATGAGAACGGAGATGGGGAGGTGGACTTCCAGGAGTATGTGGTGCTGGTGGCCGCTCTCACAGTGGCGTGTAACAACTTCTTCTGGGAGAACAGTTGAGCAGACAGCCCCAGTGGGCAGCGCCCTTCCCCTCCACTTGCCAGACCTGCTTCTTTACCCCGCTTCTGCCTCACCCCACTTATCCTTCCCCTCCCTCCTACCCTTGCCCTTCCAACCCCCCCCCCCCCCCACC